AACTCTTTGCTATCAGATGATTCTTGAAAGTGTAATTGAAATCTGTGAAAGTGCTTGCAGTTAGGGACCCCAATAGCTTCCATGGGCCTCTGGGCCAGGTGGGAGGAGGCAGTTCCACATTCCCAGAAAGGGCAGGGCCTTGGGAAGCAAGAGTGGGGCAGGGCCAGCAAGCCCTCTGTGCTGCACTCCCTCCCGCCCCTCCCTGCCCTCAGAGCTGCCCAGAGCGCTCACTGCAGCAGGCTAGGTGGCGACTTAAAGGATCTAGGAATTTGACCACCATGCAGCAGCAACAGCAGGGAACTCCAGGCCCCGTTGAATCGGCAGGCCCTGAGGGAAGCTGCCTCCTTTTCTCGTCCCCCTCCCACCCATTAGCAGACCTGCTTGCAATAGTAAGTATACCATCTCTGAGGCGAGGCATTTACAGGACCAACCCCTGAATTGGTTTACAATGACAAGACATTCAGGGATCTAAACTCCAGTTACCTATTCTAGCAACTAGCCAGAACATTTTTCCTACTGCCTATGAAGTTAAAAAGAAAAAAAAAAAGAGGTAGGAAAACAATGAAAATTTATTTATTTCAGCTGGCTGCTATTTAACAATATAGAACAGACATTCCATTTATCTCCTTAGACCAGGTTAATTTGGACTCTGTCACATTCCCAGCCTGAATAGAAGATCACAACACAAGGAGCATACAGATAAGAACAAAAACTATCAGGTGCCTGATGCAGGGAGACAAAGCAATGACTCCACACCAAGGTGCTGCATGGGAAAGTTTCACAGATCTGGACACTGACAATAATTATGGCATTGCAGCAGAGGGCAGCTGCAGATTAGGCCTGTAGCCAATAAAAGGAAAAACTATGCAACAAATAAGGAGAATTTACTAAAAGCCTGATCCTATCAGACAGCTATGGGAGAGGGGATTGGTGCTAATATTTTAATGACACCAAATGCAGTGAATTAATAAATCAGATGGATGGAATTTGTCACTGGTGCATATTGTCTTGTCTACTTTTTCCACAATATATGCAAAGCTGTGATGCAGACACGAGAGGCCATTACAGAGTAAAGAGTGTCCTGCCGAATGATAAGTAGTGGTAACCATGGTGAGTTTACCTGTTTCTTTGCAGTCTGCATCAAAAATGTAATAAGACATAATGCCATGCGCCAACCACTTTATCAGCAGCAGCAGGCACTGAGAACAAAGAAAGGGATTTAGCTTGGCTGTGATACAAGCTCTTCATGCGCTGCAAGTGCCCATGTCAGATGCCGGCCAGCCATTCCCAGAGGGCGGGTGAGGAGTGAGTGGGACTCAGCAGAATAAAATCAAATTGTTGTATTTATTTAAGATACAGTTTGTGATCATAATGAGCTCAAGTGTGGGGTTTGGGGAGGGGTAATGGATGTTGGCTTTTTCTCAGCCTATCAACTCTGCCATAAATCCCCAGCAATGGCCCTGGACCTTAGATGTTTTTACTTAGTTAATCGAAAATAAGTGTGTGTATCTAAGCATTTAATAGATTTCAAATTACATTTACTAGACCCTGTCATTATAATGAGCAAGAAAACCAGGTCAGCAAGCCCCACATCCCAAGTCATAGGAGACCAGGTCAGATGTCAAAATGCCTGTATTGCACAGAGGGAGTTTGGATGTTGTATTTCTTTGGCTTCCTGTCGGCTACCTGAGCTAATTCAAACCACTGATGAGCTTGGCACAGCACTATATGGGCGTGACGGGCAACCTGTGGCCCAAAGGCTGCATGTAACCCATTGGGATTCTACGTGTGGTCCATGAGACATTTTGTTTACTTTTGCCCACTCACAGGTTTGCCAGATTCTGTTGGTTTTCATCCACATAGTTTTTTTCCTACTGATACTACAAAAGCGACACACACATATGAAGCGAGGCACAAGACTGCACACAACATTGTCTGTGAGAGCTGTGAGCTCCCTCTGTATCCAATCCATGGGCTGCGACAGTGCAAGAGGCATGCCCCACACATTCTAGATATGCAAGTGAAATTAGCTGAACTACCCTATCTCAGGAGACTATCTTGGTTACGACAGTCTTGTAAACATTGAGATGAAGGAGGCCACTTATGCGTCCCCCTCACTAGCCTAGTTGCCCCTCTTTGATCTATGGCCTCTTCTAGGTTACCTGAGCAGCTTTTTCCTTCTGCCAGCACAAGGTATGAGGCCACCTGGAGTCTAAACTCTATAGACCTGAACTTCTGGGAGCTAGAGCAGTGTGTTCTCACTGCACAGGTAGGGGTGGCAGGGCTGGCTTTAGGCTGATTCCCCTGAATCAGGCCCCACACCTAAGAGGGGGACCCCACGCCTAAAAGGGCCCTGTCCCAGGCGCGCAGTGCATGTGCGGTGCTGCCCTTGGCGTGCGGAGTATGCGTGGTCCCGCCCCCACGAATCGGGCCCTGCACTTCCTAAAGCTGTCCCTGAGGGGTGGCAGGGTGGGACAACTTAAAGTCACTCCTTTGGTTGATCCAACTGAGGTCCACGGCTGTTGACCACCAAATGGTGTAAGTCAGGGGCAGGCAAAATGCAGCCTTCAGCCTGGGTCCAGCCCACCTAGCTACCAGATTCGGTCTGCAGGCACAGCAGAGCCTCAGTCTGGTTCCCTGCCTCCTCTGCTCGCACATATTGCTCACAGATGTTTTCTGAATACTGTGAGCCCAGGGGGCAGAGGGGGAGAAGCTCTGCATGTTGCCCCTGCACCCAGCACAAACTTGCTGCTCCCACTGGGCCTGCAAAATACCCCTCCCCCCAGGCTTTCAACATTCAGAGCAGCACACATGGCTCTTGCCTGGCTGAGGAAACTGTTGGGCTGGACTGCTGGCCAGAGTAAGAGCCTCCCAGCTAGAGCCTGCCTCTGGCACCCCAGCAGAGGCGTAGCAAGAGAGTTATACACCC